ATTGTAATGTAGATACATTCTAAATAATTTATTTGGGAATCTTTTGATTTATCTTATTTTCTTTTTCTCTTGAGTATAACTTTATATTCTTTGAATTTAATACTTTACTTTGAAAGTTACTAAATCATATACCATGTTTTCATAGGATATATTCTGCTTATCCTCTGTTCTCCTAGGATAATTACCGTTTATGCACACATATATATGATATTTATATATATGTATATAACCAGTTTTTATTTAATATTCATCTTGGTTCACATAGTTATGATTACATGATATTTAAAATGGTGTTCCTTGCTTTTTCATTTTAATTATATTTTTCCATGTCCTTAGAAATGCTTCGTTCTTTTTTTTTTTTAGAAGAAATGCTTCATTCTTAATTTTTGCCTTACTATCTGTTGAGGGAACCTTACGTTGTATATTTGACCATTCTCAGTTCTTGACATTAAAGTTGTTTCTGTTATTTTACTAACAGTAATAATGCTGTGATAAACGTCGTTGTATGTATTGATTTTCAAACCTTGTATTATTTCTTTAGCATTTACTTGAAAAAATTGAGTGCTTTTGCTAAATATTGTAAATTCTTCAAGTTGCATTTTTGGAAAGAGAGTGAATATTTCATCAACTAATCTACCACAGTGACCAAATATCTTAATCTGGATCTCAGAATGTAGTGAATTTTAGAAGTACTGAAAACATGGTTTCTATAATGTATTATGGTGATAAATTATACTTTAAAAGTCTCAAATTATTTAAAGCACAAATCCTGATAACTAATGAAAATCTGTATAAGATGGAAAGTGGGTAGTTTCTTGTATATTGCTTCTCAAAACTAAATATTTTAACCTATTTAAATTTCAAAGCTGAAAATAAACGTGCTAAATTATTATATTCATTTCCCGTATTCTCTTTAAAGGGATTAAGGTATAAATGTTAAAAGATTTAGCTATTTACATGTCAAAATGTGGAGCAAGTGACTGTTAAACTCCACTCCTCTCTGAGGTTCATTCTGAAGATGAGACCCCATCCTTTGGGGATGTATCTTCCTTGTTCATGGCTTTTCCTAATTGTGAAGGAATGACTGGGAATCAAGGATCTTTAACATAAAAAAATGTATATTTTAGTACTGAAATAATAACAAGTGTACTTTCTCTGCTTGTGATTATTATTTGACTATATTATCCTTTTGATAATGTTAGTGTTGTATTCTTGTTTATAAAATGTTAATATCATATTTATTAGGTATGCTTATGTTCTGTATTTTTGTATTTAATCTCATCTGATTTTAAATTGTATATTATAAATAATGTTAATAATATTTCATTAGCATTAATTAGAAAAAATAACTTACTGATTTTTATTGTGTATTGACTGAAGTCACAATAGTTTTGAGATAGTTGGAAAAAATAAATGTATTTTAATGTGCTGCTATTTATACTTGAATTATTTTATGCTTGTAATTGTCTTTAGGAATAAATTGTATCG